GTTTTGGGCCAGATGTCTTGGGCCAATATTTAAATAAATACTTAGATGGGCAAAGTATATGTTTGTTAGATCTGTAACAAACTGAAAACAGTTTAAGAGTTGAGTACTACTTAACAGTATATCTAAAGCCAATGTTTTCAATTTATTTGAGTAAGAATTGTCTAAAATCCCTGAAAGGTTTTTATTTACTTATTTTTTTGCTATCTGTTTCTTGTTCAAGAAATTTCCCTTTACTTCCTGTCCTGTAGACACAACAGGAAATAGGGGGAAGTCTCTAAAAAGTGAGGTAAATCTCTTTTTAGACAGTTGTCACTGTGACAAGCATTGGCTGATTTGCCCTCTTTTCCTGTACCGGTGGCAACTCAAAATGTTTGACATTTTCTCGCACTTTCAGGACAATCACATAGAGGGACTTACTCTTCCTTACTCTATCCAAAAGAAAAAAAAGTTTTGATTTAGAAATACAGTACTTTAATCATTAAAACCAGCCCCTTGTCACCTTACTCTTAGGGGCATATTTATAAAGCAGAGAATGTGACAATCACCAAATATGCACGCAAGTGCACATGTTTTAAAGTACAAATAATGATTAAGCACCTATAAATGTTTGGTGATTGTCACATTTACTGCTTTATAAATATGCTGCACATCATAAACAGAATATGACAAGAAGCAAACAAACATGGATGCTAAAAAGCTTCTTTATAGTCAGGGAACAGGAGGTCCAGAAAAATATTTAGATTTTACAGAACTGCACCAACCCAAATATCTTTAGTTATGGTTATTTTCACCTTACCCCTTGTTAAGAACATGAAATCTGCAGATACATTCCTTTATTGCTTATAAGCAAGGAACACAAGGTCAGACCATCAGTTGGCTGGTAAAACCAGGTAGCACATACACAACTATTTACTTCTGTCTAGCAGCTGGTTGGTTCTCAGTTCAGACAAGGCACTTATTGTGCCTATAGTGACATTTTCTTGAGATTTATTTATACCATAGAGTGAAAACACCCAATGAATAAGAAAACCACATAGAACAACACATTATTTACATAGACTTCTGACCTCAAAATAACTTAACTGTGGGAAGCATAAACAAAGAAAGGAAAAAAGTTTAACATTAGGTGAAGATCAATATTACTATAAATATAATAAAGTATGGTCATTTTCATAAGTATGGGAACATTTTTACACCATATCATGAAGTATGTTGTGTTTGGACACATCATAGGTCATTCTTCAGCTATGCTGTTCACTGGTTTCTTGAACACCAGACATTTTACTTTGTTAGAAATATGGCGCAACGGAGGTGGCAATAGGCTGATATTGGGTGGACACAATAAACTGTGCCAGATAAGAGCCATCAAATTTAAAACCATCAACAGTTCCAATCTAGTCTGAGGAATACTTGTTATAAACAGTACATAATATTAAAGGAGAACTATGGGGTAAGCGTTTTTCCCCATAGTTCTCCTAAGGGTTACAGGAGGACATAAACTAGCGTCCTCCCGTGACCCAAAGCTCAGTATATCGCGAGCTACAGCTTGCGGTATACTGAGACCACTGCAGCCAGGACAGATCCCGACATTACTGTCGAGATCCACCCACTGAAGGATCGGACAGGGGAGGGGGGAATCCCTGCAGGGAGCCGTGAGTGACAGTCACGGCTCTCTGCAGGGACATGATCGAGAAGTGAGCGAGCGGCGGTGTGTGTTCGCTCACTTCCCGATCTATTGAGCCGACGTGTGACAGTTTCATTGACAGCTCATAGTTCGAGCCGACATAGTCGGCTTGAACTATGAGGTTGCGTGAAAATCACTCAACCTCATAGTTCTCCTTTAAGTGTACAGCATACTATGCGAATTGGAACTACCATAAACAACAACACACCTTTCTTAGTAAGAGACAGAAAAAAGTGTTAAATCACAGCGACACAATATATATA